TGGCAGCAGATACCAGGTGCTCACCAGGAAGCTGGCAGCCAAGTACACAGCATCGGATGTCCTTCAGGCAGGTGGTCCCCAGAGCCAGGCTCCTAGGATGCTCCCTGCAGGTGTGAGCATCGATGAAGACAGATGGGCCACAGATTCAGCACAGAGCAGGGCTTTGAAGAATAGCAGAGTGGCCAGGCTTGCAAGGACCAGGGTCCAGGCAGGGGCCCAAGATGAGGGAGCAACTCAGGACTATAGGTCACTGAGCTGAGCCCAGTCCTGCTACTCAGGGACAAGGCAGGTGATGGCTATGTCTCTGCTGAGCTAAGGGTGTTGACCTGGAGCTCCAACACCAAATGTCCACCTGAGGCTTGGACCTAAATACCTAATGCATGGCTGGCCTCTGGAGGGAGGACTGGGAGGGGGGCAGGGAATGACAGGATGGAGGAAAGTGAGGAAGAGATTGAGCCCCAGAGTCTGGGGACTTCCATCCCCCTCAGGGGGAAGAGGTGAATGTAAAAGGCAACAAGACCAAATAATTCCTAGGAAAAGCTGCTGACAGGGAGAGAGGAAGGAGGGCCTGATGAGCTTTCATTTCCTAATCGGCCAGACTGTAACCTCCACGAGCCTTCCCAGTGCTCCTCCTCCTCCTGACCTGCTAAGACCTCCCTGACATCTCCAGCTGCTCCTTTCCCTGCCTCACAGCCTTTCTCTGAGTCATTCTCATAGCCCAGTGGCTCTGATAGTGAGATTTCCAGGGTGGCTGCCCTTCTGAGTCTCAGCCTCCCCTCCATCAGCCAAGAAAGAGATGCCTCCCAGGTCCCATCAGACATCCTAGTGTAGATTCCCACGCATCGGCCCTGAGGGTGACATCAAGGTTGTCCTTGTCCTGGCCGCTCCAAGGCTGACTCCAGCTTACCGGATCAGAAAGCTTGGAATTAGGTTTTATCATCAAAGAGCCCATTACCCTCCTCCATCCTTTTGTCCAAAATTATATTTAGTCCTTCCAGAGAGACTTCTGCGTTGCCATAAATTCTCCTGGCTATCAGAACAAGATAAGGAATTGCAAAGAGGTTACAGAGAGGACAGACATCAAAGAGGGCAAGTGAAATAGTCTGAAGTCACTTCTACTCCCTGAATTCCTCCAGCTCCTGGCCTTCTGGTTGGTACTCTCTGCAGTTATTGAAAGTATTTCCCAGTTGCTCTGGGGTACGAGAGTTCCCTTCTTCACAACCAGTGAGTGGGGCCCAGGTGTATGTCAGCTTCTAAAAAATAGAGCCACATAGGAAGTATGGGAGCAAAGCAGAGGGAACATTAAATTTATTGATGAAAAGCCTTAAAAACAGGGATGACTAAGAGGGCAAGCTGGGCCATGGGCAGGGGCATCGCCAGCACACTGCTTCTGCTGTTCTGTTTCTGAGAAGATGCAAAGTTCTTGCTTTCTGGAAGAATTTTTTTCCTCCGGTGTTGGCAATGAAGCCCAAACTCTCATACTCATTCACGCTAGGCAAGCATTGTGCTGCGGAGCTCCATCCTCAGTCCAAGAAATTATTTTTCAAGGAGTTGAGATAGAGTGGGGTGAGACTGTTAGGACAGTTGGTGGCAGTGCAGTTTGGGTGAGGGTTTCTCTACAGAAAGTTTTACTGGTCTTTTTCAGGACGATCAGTTTCATGGGAGGAAACCCTCAGATTTCTGCTCTGGTGTTTAATTTAGAAATCTCTACCCCGCCATCCAGGAAAAAATTAGGTGACTGAAAAGAGATGAAGATTAAAATGTCTGAATACAGGGACCAGAGCCCAAGAATTCTGTTTGCAAGAGCAAGGTTGGGGAGTGGGCGGGCAGATGGCTCAGTAGAATAAGTGCTTGCCTGGGCATGAGTTCAATCCCTGGTTCTGACCAAAAAAAAAAAAAAAAAAAAAAAAAGAAAAAAGTGGGGGTGGAACCCTGCTGTGGAGGGAGGAGTCTGTGTCCTGGAACCTCTGTTGTGAACTATCTAACTAAGAAGGCCCCAGGGTCAGGTAATAGAGAGCGATCTGCTAATGCCAGAAGGGAGGGCTGTACGGGAACACAGGGTACTGGGACCAGATGAGCCTTGCGGGGCACTGGGCCAGCACAGGCAGATAGATGGCCCGAGAGCTGAGATGCATGTCCTACTGCGCACGCCCCGTCACGGCAGACACAGACATAGTCTCAGAATTCTCACGGTGTGTCGGGAAGTGAGGTGAACCCAAGTTCTAAGCTCTGGTCTCAGTTAGGTTCTCCCATGACAGAGAGGAAACTATGATTTGGAGAAGTTGATTTGCTCCTCATTCATAGTCTGGTCTGGATATGGACCTCCCTCCCTCACTCTTTCCCTCCCTGCTTCCTTCCCTCCCTCGCCACTCCTCCCCCAAGAAATAAGAACTAGGGGGTGAAGAGGAAAAGCGAAGACGCCTCAGTCAGCCCCCACCCTCCCCATCTCTCCCTGCCATGCCACCATTCACCCATACCCTGCTCTCACAGACCCCATGTCACTCCTTCCCTCTTGGTCCCCAGGACCTGGCCTGGTGCTCCCCAAAGGCTAAGGCTGAGGGCAGATCACTTTGCTGTCATAGTCACACGAAGCTCAGGTTACCCTTTGGCATGGCTTCGGCCTGTGTCTCCTACTTCTACATAGACTAAGTTTTTCTTTTCCTAACCTGTTTTCTAGCCCTTCCTTTGTTCTTCTCTCCACCCTGTGTCAGGTGAACAGCACCCACCTGTAGAATTCCAGTGAGTTCCACCCTGTTTTGTCCAGTACCAACGATAGCTGGCTACGGCAATAAGTCAAACAAATTAGAGGGTGGTGTTCAGTATTTCAAAACATTCACAGTTTTAAATAATGCACACTGACAGCTCTTTTCAAAGAAGACTTATTCTATAAGAGTTTCACTAACATGACTGTATCAATTGTACTAATCAGAGTTCATCTTATAGCATGAAACTCTGGATTTGAATTATGCTAATAATAATCTCAGAGTGATAGTAACGGGGTGCGTAAGGTTATTCTTTTCTCCCAATTTGAGTATAGAGAAAACAAAAACCAATCAGAGCTCACATACCTGACTGGTCTAGGGCCCACGTAAAATTAGCCATAGAAGCAGAATAAGGGCCCTTAGACCCTTCCCTCTAGAGGAAGGGCAGAAGTTGTTCATTGAGCCCTTCAGCTTAGCTCCAAGTCCCAGCAATACCCCATCATGACTCAGTGTCTGGCCTTGCTTTCTGCTCCATCCCCAAGTGTTTAGAAAAGTGCCTGTGTATTGTGCTTATCCAATACACACTTTTTGAATGAACTCATTGTCCCTGGGAGATCTCCAGAGAAAGAAGCAAAGACCAAGAAGTCATGGTGGTATTGACAACTTACAGGGCTTTGTGGACCATATCTCCTACCCAACATTACCAGGGGCCCCTACAAGGGCATGAGGTATGGAGGACCTGGGCTGGGGTATAACAGGAAGAAGGCTGGGTAAGCAGTGTTGTCGAGGAGATGGGCCTGGTGTGTCAGTGGACAGAGTGCATGGGTAGTCCATGGAAGTGCTGGGAGATAAAACAGCCCCCAAGGCATTTAGGTCAACCAGTATTAATCTAACATAGGGGTTGAAGCCTGGAGTAATTTTGCCCCTACTTTGTTCCCACTGGGGACATGTGGCAATGTCTGGAAGCATTTTTGGTCATCCCAGTGGGTAGGAACTCTTACTGGACTCTAGTAAGTAGAGATCAGGAATGCTGCTAAACATCGTACAGTGCACAGAACAATCCCACAACGAAGATCTCACCAACCTAGGTTGTCAGTACTGCTGGGATTGAAGAAATTCTAGAACATCACCAAAAAGTAGGGGATGACCAAATGACTCACATTTGAACTGGAACATTTGGGAATGAAATAGGTGTTATTAATAAATATACTAGGACAGCTGTCATCATCTTACCAAGGACTTTGGGGGAGAGGCAGAGTCTGACCTGGACCTGCAGAACAAGGGGGAGATGGAAGAGGAACAGGCAGGGGATCCTGCTTGTTGGGCAGGGGGTAAGAGGTCGCTGAGTCAGGTAAATCTAAATCTCCTCAATTACACTTCCTGACATATTGAAGAAATACAGCCAGGAAGATGCGGCCTTTACAGACCTGCATTGGTATCCCTAAGATGGGAGATGAACAGCTATCTGCTTTCCTGAAAGAGATTTTTCTTTTCAGAAAAGTAGCTGACAGATGAGTGACTTGTCAAACATCTCTCAGCCATGTCTCCTTTTAGCCAGTAGGCTTCCTGTCCCCTGTAACTCTGATAGATTCTGTCTAGCTGGGAGGTCAGGACAAGGAGTAGGAAGGAAGAGGCCCCACCCAGCTCCCTAGAAAAGGGTGTAGTTAGGACCCTCTGCTACAGAGGAATGATGGGCCAGAAAAGAGGAATGGTGGGCCAAAAAGTCGGACACCTGCCACCCCTTAGCCAGGCCTTGTGCTTTGGTTCCTTGCACAGCTAGAATTGAAAGTGATACTCTGAGCGAAGTGGTGTCTAGTGCATTTATTTAGGTCAGCTATGCCTTCTGCTATGCTGGGGTTGGAGATCTTGAAGACTGACTAAAGACATGGCCCTGCCTCCAACCCATGCTATTTTTGTGGGTGACTAAAGTAAATGAAGAGAATGTAAATGAAGCTGCTGCAGGACAGGGAAGGAGACAGGACTGAAGCAGCAAGTGACCCCTGTGCATGGTGTCTTCCTCCTCACAGAGGAGACAGGAATTTGGGCTCAGAGAAGCAAGGAGGAGGTAGGTTTGGAGAATGGCTTTGAAGAGAGCAGAAAAAGGGAAGACTTGCTGGCCTCAGGAGACTGTGGTAATAAGCACAGGAAGTCCCCGTAGGCCAACTGATGACTCTGCTGTGTTTTTCCAGGGCGAGAGATGGTGGGACCCACGCTGCCCGGATACCCACCCCACATCCCCACCAGTGGACAGGGCAGCTATGCCTCTTCTGCCATCGCAGGCATGGTGGCAGGTAAGGGGAGGGCTGGGCAGGGGAAGTCCTCTAATGGGCAAGTGTTGGGGGGCAGGCACAAGTGGGAGCACGAGGCAGGTTGTGTCCCATTCTTGGTCTTCCCAAAGGCCTTTGAAGGGTGGATCAGGCAGACAGACACCTTCTTATAAAAGCCTAGAGCAAATGCCCTGGGATCCTTCCAGCTTCTGTCTTCAGTATCCTTCTTCTCAGATCTCTCACACTCCCCACCCTGAAGCCGAGAGAAGGGCAAGAAGGGCAGGGACAGACCTGACTTCACATCCAACCTCCCCCATCCCTTCCACCCAGTCCCTGAGTCTGCTCAAATACTGAGCCACACATGAGCTCAGGCAGTTTGTGGTCTCCCAGTGACTTAGCGCTGATGAATCTCAGTTTGCCCCTTCTGAAAGACCTGCAGTGTGCAGCGGTGGTGATGAAAGGGTTGGAATATGGCGCCCTGCACACCCCACCCTCACACAACACCCATAAGTAGGGTACAGTTTCTGGGGATACTGGGCATTCTGTAAAATATGGGGAGAACTGGTAATATTTTCCCCATCCTCATTTGGACTGCCCTGGAATCCTGCCGGCCAGTCTTTTGGGGCTTTTTGTCTGCCCACAGTCATCCAATGGTCAGGATGTCAAGGTTCAGACAAATAAAGACAATGGGAACTTCTTTGGGAAAATTTCACTTTTAGGAGCCCCTTGGGTAGGGATCTTGGGAGGGATGGAGTAGAAGTGACCCAGAGAGGTCTTAAGGCCTGGAGCTTTGCACAGGGCTCGAGACTGAGTGCCCATGTGCCCCACATTCAGGGCCGGGCCAGCCTCCCTGACTGGCCCAGAGGCCAGCTGCTCTACCCAGGTCTGCTGCCCCCTGATGGGGGTTAATCTTCACCAGCCACCCACTCTAGGAACCCAGCACAGAGGCAGGTGGGCTGAGCTGTCCTGGGCAGAGGGAGGAAGAAGGCGAGGGAGGGGAGGTGGCTCTGCGCTCCCTGGGAACCTGCTGAGCTGGCACTTGTTGCTGCCTGGTTACCGTGGCGATGTGCTTAATGCAGCGTTGAAAATACAGAATACTGACTCCTCTCTCTCTCCTGGCTCCGGACTCCCTCCCTCCCTCCCTTCCTCTTCTGGACCGTGAAATGAGATTGGTCAAGATAAAAAAGGAAAAGATTCGGTTATTTTTTTAAGAGTGTGGATAATGGGGCCTCTCAATCAAAATCCCAGACTCCAGTCCGCTCCCCCATCCCCCTTCCCACCCCTCCACCTTGCCCCGCTGCCTGCTTAGAGGAGGAGGAAGAAGCAGAAAGCACAAAGCTTGGCTCTTAATTATGAATCATTCCTGAGGGCAGGCCCAGAGGAAGGGCTTCCTGGGACCCAGAATCTGACCTGTGAGGTAGCTGGAAAGCTTGGAGCTTTCATCAAAGGCGCCTAGGTTGTTTCCAGAAAGACCTCATCCAGGGAAACTGCTGTGAGCAAAACACACACACACACACACACACACACACACACACACACACACTCCTAGCACACTGACTGCAAGGGTGTCACACAAGCAAGGGGCTTTGCCTTCCACAGCTGCAAGGATAGGCTCCTGGTAAGTTGTGTGCAAACTGGTTTTCAGGAAATGCAGTACTATTTAAATGAATTACCTGCTTCCTAGGAATACCCTTGTGCAGATGAATTCCTAAGGGCTTTTATTGGAGGAAAATTATGTGTCCGTATCTTACCACTGCCTGTGATCTCCCAGGTAACTGAAATGGGGATTCCCTCAGTTATAATGAAAAAGCCCAGAGTCCAGCTGAATGCAGGGAAGGTACATCATGGATGCTCAAAGCAAAGCATACCGATCGCACTCTCCGTGACCAGCTGTGGAAAGGAGGGAGAGGTTATTTGTTAGGCACATCTGCATGTCTAGCCATTTACACATTCCACCTAATTTGTCATTGCATCCTCACTGTAAGACTGAGAAGGTGATATCCCAGTTTTGGCGTCGTTTGTTTTTGTGGGGATTTTTGTTTCCTTTTGCTTTGTTTTTGTGATCATCACAATTTTGTAGGTAAGGAACTGGTGACTTAGAAAAGCAAAGTAGTATGCTCAGAGTCATGGCCATGCTAGGTTCTAAGTGGTTGGTTCACAAGAGTCTTTTAACTTCAAATCTAGAAATAAAGGTAAAAGCTGCAGAGAAGCCACACAGGAGAAAGCCCAGGGTGCGGATCTCTCACATCCACTTGCCGTTCTTTGTTTTCATCTGTTCTCTCTCTGTCTGTCCCTCTCTGTGTCTCTGTTTTTTTCTGTTCTTCCCTGTCTCTCTGTCTGTGTCTCTCTGTCTCTACCAGTATCTCAGTATCTCTGTCTCTGTCTTCCATCTTTCTGTCTGTCTCTCTCTCCCTCCCTCCCTCTCTCATTCTGTTTCTCATACCCTTAATACCTAATAACAGAGGTACTCACACCAGTTCTGTAACAGAGTGAAAAGCTCCAAGTACATGGATCTATCCAACCATCTATACATATCAATCTACCCATCCATTTTATCATCTGTATTTCTATTATCTATTCATATTTCTATCTTTCCATCCACTCATTCATCTATCTCTATCAAGAAAAAGAGACAGAGACAGAGACAGACAGACAGATGATAGACAGATCAATCTAGGAGAGAAAGAGACATAGTGGGTAGTAGTACTTATCCTAAACCATGTACCTGTCCTTTCATCTGCCCATTTTCCATTCATTTGTCCATAATCTATCCTTCCAGCCATCTATCCTTCCATTCATTCCCCTTTCTGTGTTCACATCCTCTGTCTCTCCATTTTTCCATCCATCCATCCATCTTTTCACCCATCCATCCTTTCATTATCAATATTTCCATTATCCACATTTCATTCAACCATGCATTTCTTCATCCATTGACCACATTTTTTTAAAGTCTTTTTTTTTATTTGTGTGTGTGTGTGTGTGTGTGTGTGGCCAGCTCAGCCCATCAGGGGGCGGGGCTGGCTGGCATGTGGTGCTGGGGGATTGAACCGTGGTCCCTGTGCTTTGCCAAGCTTGTTCCAAGTAGGTGCTTTAGACCACTGAGCCATCTCACCAGCCCATTGACCACATTTTTGCCTAGCAAATACTGTGAGAATTTATTGTGTAAGATGTTGGTGATACAAGAATGCACAAGATATATTTCTCTAGTTATGGAGCTTACAACCTAATGCTGGCGAGAAATAGACAATAACAGGCAACGAATGAATAAATATGATTTCAGATGGAGATATGTGATGAGGTATAAGGAGCCAGGAGGAGATGAGATAACTACTTTAGATTGGGTGATCAGAGAAGGTCTCTCTGAGAGAATGTTCAAAGTGATCAGCCGAGTAATGAAGGACTAACCATCCCTACCCCAAAGGGACAGCCAGTACCAAGGCCCTAAGGCAGAAAAGAACCAGTTTAGCGTGATAGCACACAGAAAGGAAGTGAGCACATGAAAGGACCACAAGCAGTCAGGGAAGGTGAGATGTCAAAGTCAAGTTTTGAAAGACTACTCAGGCTTTGGAGAAGGTGGACTGTAGACCTGTCAAGAAAGAAAGCACATGGGGCTGGGGAGATGGCTCAGTAGAATAAGCGCTTGCCTGGTAAGCACAAGGGCCTGAGTTCAATCCCCAGTTCCGCCAAAAAAGAAAGAAAGAAAGCATGCAAGCACGCACAGAGACCAGTTGGGATATGGTTGCTGTAGTTCTCACAAGAGATGACAGTGGCTTATGCTAAAGGTAACAGTGAAAGAGGAGAAAAGTGACAATGATGATATGTTTTATTGATAGATCCAACAAATTCTGATAGTGCATGGACTATAGGAATAGGAAAATAGAGGAGATAAATAAATGACAGAGATAGAGAGAGAGACAGACAGACAGACAGACAGACAGACAGACAGACGATAGATAGATCAATCTAGGAGAGAAAGAGATATAATGGGTAGCAGGTGGAAATCAAGAGTTCTGTTAGGCCATATTAAGATTGAGATACCTACAAAATGCCCAGTTTTATATTTCTGCAATCACATGATGCATTTCTAAAGTCAGAAAAGAATCTTGATTATAGTATAAATTTCAGTCATTGGATAAAGTTGTTTTATGCCAAGGGATTAGACAGTTCATTTGAAAGAATATGGTGGGAAATTCACAAAAGGCTCTCAAACCGAAATGGGTTCTTCAACATTATTTAAACTTTTAACAGAGAAGCAGTCAGCAGAGAGTAAGTAGAGAAAGAAAAACAAGTTACAAGTAAACCAGGAGGTTGGCCATTACAGAGCCCAAAATTATGAGTTCCTTTGAGGGAATGATGGCTTAGAGGTTGATTGAGTTGTGGATCTAGACATGACCACTGGGGGGACCAGGTTAGGGGACTTGTGTGGGTTGGCGTTGGCTTAACTGGCAGAGGGTGACAAGGTGAAGGCACACTGTGAGGGAGACAAAGTCATGGCTGCTAGAAAGGGACAAGGGTAGAAAAGAATTTTTTTAAAGATAAAATATAGCAGAATGTGGTTTTGTACTGAAGGGTTGAATTAGGGAGAAGAAGAGAGAGGCCAACTACAAGGACCCAAAAGAAAAGAAAGTAGGGTGGGGGTACTTTCCTTCCGTAGGTACCTCCATGCTGCAGGGCTGCAGGCAGGGTGACAGTGCCAGTAGTGGTAGGAGCCAGACCCAAAGGTGTGTTACTCCCTTAGCCCCATTCCCTGCTCTGGCTCCCTGCCACTGAAGCATACAGGTACTCAGGGTGCTGGAAAAGTGAGTAAGGACAGGGCTAAGTGGAGTGACAAAATGAGAGGTGAGTGTTTGCCATCTTTCTTCCTTTTCCATGTGAGATTGCAGTGCCCTGCACTGGACAGAGTGGGTTGTGGGCGTGGTCATGGGCAGGGCCCAGCTGTGTAGCCAGGGTAGACTCAGCTTCCTCCAAGTGAGTCGTGAAATGACGAGATGTGGGGTTGTTGGCACTGGGGCCAGAAGAGAGCCCACTGGCATTGGAGTGGCGGCCTTGCGCAAAGGTACTTGTCTCTCTGCATAGCTGCCCCTTCACGATTGCGGTGAATGATTGGATTGGATTATTTTTTAGTTTTCTTCCTCTACTACCACCACCCTTGCCTCTCTGCATTTTTCCTCTTCCATTCTTTATATCCGGCTTGTGTTTGGTGTAGTCCCCGCCCTGGAGGAACTAGCTCTGTTCTTACTGTGAGATTGTCGCCGATCACTGACCCTCTAGACAAGGATTTGGTCCACAGCTTCTGTCTTCTGCCTTACACATTCCTTCATTCTACTCTTCCTAAGCAAATGCCATTTCTCTGCAGGGCATCAGTCTCCATGGTCCTAACAGTGCCATTAAGACTGGTTGCATGACTGACTTGAGTCCCCACTGAACTCTATTTTGAACTTGTTTCATAGAAAAGTAGTAAGCTATCGATAGTGAGTCCTTCTTCTACTCCAAGTACAGTGCTAAGTGTTTAATATGTGCTATCTGTTTAATTCTCACTAAACTCTATGCGACAAGGACGATAATGTTGCCTGACTTGACTGATAAAGAAGTCAAGCCTCAAGGAAGCTAAGCAACTTATTTATGTCCACACAGTCAGGAAGTAGGAAATGGGGATTTTGCTTCCAGCAGGCAGGTTTGAGAGGCAAGAACTTCCACTCTGAAGAGCTGGGAAGGAGATGAGGAGCCACCAAAGATACTTAGTTCATGATCACAGATGCTTTTCTGAAGGGACATTCTTTGGATCTTGGGGTTGGCGGGAGCCTGGCTTTGCAAACAAAATCATCTCATAGATGCATTAAGGAACTATCTGGAATTTAAGAACAAATGTCCAAGGGCAGGTTCTGCCCCACCAATGAGACAAACTACTCAATCGTGCCACACTTCAATTTCCTATTTTATAACCAGGCAGTGGGGATGAGTAGGAGTAGCAGAGTGGACTGCGAACCCCAGACCAAATGCCAATAATAGTTGCGTTGCTCAGCTTAGCCTTGTTGTTGTAATATACAGGAATTCTTAAGTCATTTCCCTGGTAAATAAATCTTTTGGGAAAGCCAAATAAAAAAGAAATCACAATTTGATTTATTTTGTGTAAATGCATGCACTGAGTTTGCTTAAAGTACAGAAGGATTCTCAGAGGTAGTCCCAGAACACAGCCTCCCCAAGAGGTTGATGCCCTCTGGGATCCTTTCTCTTCTCCTCCCCTCGAGCCTCAGCTCCCCATCCCTCCCATCTCTCTCTCTCTCTCTCTCTCTCTCTCTCTCTCTCTCTCTCTCTCTCTCTCTGCAGTTCTTATAGACCAGTCCTCTCTCTGGCTGCTGTACCCATTCCTGAGCCATGGGCACTGGGGACAGCCCCTTCTGCAGAAGGTTGAGCAGCACAAGAAGCGGGCTTAGCCTCTGGGTCCTAGAGTCACAGTGCAGCCTCCACTCTGTGCCCAGCTTTCCAGCTGCATGAGCTTCTGCAGATCCCACAGGTTCAATTCTTTACCTGGAAATTGGGACAATTAACATCTTTCTCCCGGGGTTCCTTTGAGTAGACAAGTCAGCACCTCCAATGCTGAGAGAAAAGGGTGCTGCCCTAAATGGCCCAGATTGTGGAGTCCAGAGGATGACAGAAGGTGTCCCTCCCAGGCCTGCTGATCCCTGGGCTCCATGCAGTGGGCCCTGCAGACCCTTGTACCCCCACCCCTACCCCACCCACGGTGGTGCCTTAACCTCATAGGCATCTCTCACTTGTGTGCTTCTACAGGAAGTGAATACACTGGCAATGCCTACGGCCACACCCCCTACTCCTCCTACGGCGAGGCCTGGCGCTTCCCCAACTCCAGCCTGCTGAGTAAGTCCCTGCCTAGGTGCCCAGGCCTTCTGCTGGCCAGGTAGCACAAGGGTTGCAGGGGGAGGGGAGAGGGTTCAGAAGACCAGAAACTTCCTGACCGCATCTCCCTCCTGCTCCCCAAGGCCTAGTCTCTTAAAACTTTGTTTGGCCTAAAACTTGGGCTCTGGCTGGAGAGAAGGGCCGAGGTAGGCTAGAAAAGTGAGGATGGGATGGATTAGAGCCCTAAGACAGCAGAACTGTCTTCTGCAGGTACCCACTGCCCTCCTTCCTGGAAGCTGCCCCCATTAACTGTATAAGTGGGTCACAAGCAATCATGACTCAGCACTAAAGCTCTTCCACAGAGATCCTTGTTCCATCAAGTTCTTGGTATTTGGCTCAAAAAACGAAGAGCTCTTGGGGTCAAGGTGCAGAACAACAGAGTGAGGCTGCTGCTTCAGGAAACCAAGCCCATGTACAGGGACCTTGAGGGTTCCCACTAGAGCCTCCCTGAGTGGTGGCTAGGGGTGTCAGAGCAAACTTGAGCCAGACAGCAATGGCTGCGGGGTGGCCAACCTCCCCACCTGGCAACCATTTGTTCTCCTGCTATTCCCTGCTGGCATTTCTGGCATTACAGAAATGATAGGAATGATGACTCACCTGAGCTGAGGCCATGTGTTCAACCCCAGCGTGCTTTTGTTCGATTGAACCAGAAAGCCAATGAGATGCTCTGGGGGTCAGGATACGTTCCCGCCCAGCCTCATCAGGCCGCCTCCCATGCACCCAGGTATCCACAGCCCAGGAGCAGACCTCCTTACCAGCTGACAGTCTGATCCTTCTGGGTGCCCAGAGGCAGAGTCTCTGACCTGTGGGTGTCTGGGCTGGCTGGAGAGGATCCCCAAGCCCAATCCTTCAGCGTGCTTGATTCTTGGGATTCCACAGACAAGGGCTCTCCATCGCCAGCTCCCTGCAGGCAGGGTGCTGAAGGTCAAAACAGTCAAGGGGAGCGGGCAAGAAGCCACCATTCTTATCCCAGACAGAAACTCAAAGGTGAGGCCAGAGAACATGGAAGCAGGGCTGGAGAGGAGTTAATCTTTGATGATCAGATAGGCCAGAGGGATAAATGATTAACCGGAGCTGTCTAAAAGGTCAGCAGATGCAGGGAAGGCTTTTCAGCAACTTCCCCTCTGACCAGTGCTGTGTGTGTGTGTGTGTGTGTGTGTGTGTGTGTGTGTGTGTGTGTGTTTTAATGTGTCCAGGTTCCCCATATTATTACAGTTCCACATCAAGGCCAAGTGCACCGCCCACCACTGCCACCGCCTTTGACCATCTGTAGTTGCCATGGGGACACTGGGAGCAACCAGGCAACAGGAGGACTCAGCCTGGGACAGGCCCCAGAGAGTCATACAAAGGAATCTTTATTTATTACATGAAAAATAACCACAATTCCAGCATCACAACTCACTCCCTGTGTGGTTAATTTAATGAACTATGAAAGACAGGATGACCTTGGAGAAGGCCAGGATGTCTTCCAAGACTCCTTGAAGAGGGACAGGAGTCCCAGGGAAAGAGAATCATCCCATTCCAAAAGTGACAGAGTTGGAGGAGAAATGTGCCTGGGCTGATACCTGCCCAAGGAGAGAAGAGGAAGAAGCCATGAGGAGCTGGGGGGCACTGATAGATGGGGCCCACCTGGCCCACGGGTGCATGAGGGCCACTTGCATGGCTCTGCCATCTATGCGACTGCAGCAGCTGTGTCCTGTAAGCAGGTCCTTGCGGCCCACAGGTCACAGGCTGTGACAAGGCTCTCCCCATTGTTCACCCTGAGAACCACCTCCTTCAGTCTCCTGCCATCTGCTATTCGGCTCGCTTGGCTCTTCTATGCTTCCCTTGTGGCCACAGGCTGCGGGCTGGGCGAGTAGACCTGAAAACCCACCGTGGCGTCAGCTGACCTCCCTTTCCCTGCTGCTGGGAGTGTACAGGCACCACCCCAGCCTCTCCTGCAGTGGCTCATCCCGTGGGTAGCTGCCATCAGCCAGAAAGCAACTGGAGACAGGAACCCCAAAGGGCCCCGGCCCCTGGGGCCGAGGTGTGGCTCTGCCCAGGGGAGAGGCAGATGGAGAGCAGAGACCTGGTCCCTTCCCAACAGCTTCTGCCACGCCAAGGGTGCTCCTGCAGTTCAGCCCATGCAGCCACCAACAAGACCCTGAAGCAACCTCCAAAGCCAGCAAGGAGCATCCCTCTCTGGCCTGCATAGTTCCTGCCTGCAAGACCTGACTGTAAATACTGTAAATGAAGTGCTACTTGGGTCAAGCTTCCCTCTTTCCACCCCCACCTTGGCCTCTGAGTGAATTGTCTCCCCACCATGTTGGGCTTCTCTCCTTGATGCTTATTTCTTTTTTAAGGACAACCCACCATTGCCACATGACTCAATAAACCGTTACTCTTCTTCTTAGGCTTTGGGAATGGCTGGGGTAGGGGGCCTTTGGGGTTGGCTAATAGCTCGCTTTGTGGCTGTGGGTCGGAAAGGACTATTAATCCCCAGGACACTGACATAGCTCTCTCCTGCCAGTCCTGTGGTACAGCACTGAGGAAATCAGTTTTGAGGGTTGAGTTCTTCCACTCCAGTAAATGGGAGGCAGGGACGCGGCATGGTTCAGTCAGTCATGTGCTCCTCACAGGCCACAGGAAGCCAGAGAACCTGCAGAGAGGCCCACATCTTCAGCTCCATGGGCCCCATGGCAATGGGGTGAGGAAGGGAAAGTACAAGCCTGTGCACTCCTCCATGCTGAGCACAGGGTAGAGGGCATCGTGAAGATGAAGTTGGAGAAGCTCCCTTTTGCATAGGTAGGAACTATTAGAAAAACCAAAAAGAAAATAGTTGCCCAAAGGGAACTATAGCTGCCCAAGGGGGGTTCGACCAAATTTTCTTACCCTAAGTCAAGCACTTTGTGTGTATGTGTTGGGGGGTAGTACTAGGCATAGAGCCAGGGCCTGAGCTCCACTAAGCTACATCCCCTGCCCCTTGTTAGAACTTTGAGACAGTGTCTCTAAGTTAACCATGCTGGATTCAGACATATAGTCCTCCTGCCTCAGCCTCCTAGAGTGCTGGGATTGTGAGCCAGTAGGCACCAGCATGCCTGAAAAAGTTACTTTCCCCCAATGCCACAGGCCCCTTCTCAGGGATGCCAGAGGGCTAGGCGCAAGGGGGTTTGAGGGCTGCTCCAGACAATCTAGTTTCTCTTCATTCAACTCTAAAGATTTGACTTGACTGAGCAGTGGAGAGGTACAGGGTGAGGGGAGCAAAGCAAGTGAAGGAGACTTCAAGCACCCAAGACACCCCCACCCCAGTTCCAGGAAGCCTGGGAGGAGAAGAGGGGGCACAGGTGACATGAGGTGTCTGGCCCTGCAGGGGCTGTCACATCCCCTCTCCCAGTGCAGTGCAACAGGAATAAGGGGGCAGGGCTGAGTGAGATGAAAGGGGGATCCCTAAGCCCACCCAGTGCCTTGGGGGGGGTAGAGAACCTGAACAGGACAGCGACCTCTGCAGGCTCCCAGAGGAGCACAGGCCAGGAGGGGCAAAACAGCTGTGCCAGGAGGGCACCCCGCCCGTGCAGACAACCTGCCCCCTTCTCTTCAGAGGGCGTCTGCAATGAGGTTTTTTTCTTTTATTATTAGAACATGATTTCAGTACCTTAATGGATCAAGGGGGCTAGGGCATGAACAGAAGACATCTCAATTCTTTTCTCATCCCTTTCCACTCCCTCCTTTCCCGAGGCTTAGTTTTTAGTGCCAGGGTTTCCCTCAGGCTGTGAGCCTGTCAGCAGGGCTCTGCAGCTCACTGTAGCTCAGGCTCTTCAGGACTTGAACCTTGGCTCCTGAGTAAGACAACCCCTACCCAAAAGCCCCTTTGAGACCCATGATGTCCCAGGAGCCCACAGAGCGATCCTTTTCTGTGTTCACAGCCAAAACCTCTCTGGGGATGCTCTCTTCAAATACTCAGGCTTGGGCTATACTTTTGCTGCGGGGACTTTGGCACAAAGCTCACCTTCCCTTCTCTGAGCTCAGCTGGGCATCTTGGGACATCCAGCTGAATGCTGTTCAGTGCTGGAGGTCCAGGACTGCCTGGGGGTTTCATCCCAAGTCCAACTGCAGGCAGCCTTAGGACTCAGAAAGTGGGTGACAGACAACTGCAAATGTGTTGGTGCTGAGGAGGGGATGGCATTGGAAGTGGGGTGGCACAGGAGAGGGCGCAATGAAGGACGTGGGGACAAGGACAGGAAGGACACACAGGAGACTGCCAGAGCCAAGGAGCATGTTCACCCTGGAGTGAGGGAAGCACCTAGGGGGTGCTGATCTACCCATCATGCAGGGAAGTTGGGCTGGTATCTGTGGTGCAGGGATTAGTGTTTGGTGGTGGGAGGACTGGGGCTGAGGCAGGGCTCGGGACTTTCCCAGAACCTGCTTTCACCAGCCCCGCATCCAATCCCTCTTGCTGCCCATGTGAAAAGAACTTGCCCCAGTCCAGACAGCTCCTTCTGGTATGTGCTCCCTGCCTTCACCTCTGTCCTCCTGCCTCCTTGACTGTCCAGGGAGCAGGAGCTTGCAGGAAGCCCGTGGGAATGAGGCAGCCCTATAGGGCAGCCGGTGGGTTTTTTGCTGCAAGCCAGAAGAGCTGCAATCAGGCGTTGGCCCACCAGGTGGGCAGAGCTGCCCTGACCTTCCAGCCCCGGCCCTGAACCTCCCAGGGTAGGACAGGCTGGGAGTCTGTCTCCAAGGCCAGCCCCCACGCTGGACCTAACTCCTCCATTTCCCTTCACTTCCTCTTGCATCTCCAAAATTCTTGTCCTGAGTTATTAAACGCGTGTGTTCTACTCAGTCTGCGTCAGCCACGCATGTAGCCTGTGAGACAAGCACAAGAGAGAGCAGTCGATGGCTGCAGCCCACGTGCCCCAAAACAGGAGCCAGAGAAGCCAGAGACAAGCTGGGGTTTCCCCACTATCGCCTGCTCCCCCGTTCTGCTCCCATCCCCCAGAAGCTCATCCCCTTCCCACCTCTATCAGCATCCACCTTCTTTCTGCTAATTCCTTGGTGAGGGGCACAGCAGGAGGCGGACAAGAGGCCTCCTCACCCACCTCGGTGGTTCTGGGGCTGAGCAGGAGCTCTGCAGTCAGAGGCCAGGGGAAGCCCGGGCCGCCCTCTCTGCACAAAGCTCACCCATACCCACTATGGTCTTTGAGTCTGAACACTAGGCTTATTTTTCAATGGGGGAAAGTGAGAGCATCAGATGACTGGCAAGGTCATTCCACTAAGACCACAAAGGAGCTGAGACCACAGCCCAGCCATGAACCAGAGGCTGCATCTGCATCCCTGCCCAAGTCCTCCTTGGAGACCCGGATGTGGCCAGGCTCCTGGGAGACCTCAGGCACCATGTGCACCTCTGCGGGGGTTGAGAGCCCTCTGCAACTGCATCCTGATCCCCGGGACTGGGATCCGCCGGGCCCCTGAAGGCTGCCTCCTCCTGGCGTTCCCCTCTTTCTCTTTCCTTTCTTCACACATTTGACTTCTTCTACTCCCTCTCCCGCTGAGTTAGAAGCAATTATGCCTTGCCTCACGTCCTGACAAAGCTTTCTGTCTCCCAGGCTCTGGCTGCCTAAAGGGGCAAGTGAGCAGCGCTTGGGAAGGGCTGGGGGGCTGCAGGTGCTGGGGGCGGCCGCCGCGGCCTCTTCCGGCCACCGTCTCTGCTCTCTGTGGCTTCTCACTCTTCTCCTGGCTTTATTTCTGTGGACTCTCTGGGGACCTTTGGGACACAGACCCTGCAAGTCAGTAGCTCCAAGACGATGGCACACCCCCGTCCCCAGGGCTTCTGGCTCACACGATCTAGCCATGCCTCAGCACCTCTCAGACCCACACAGCCTAGTTCTTCCTGGAAGAAGCTGGAGGGGGCGGGAGAAGGACAGGCGTCGCCTTCCCTCTGGGCTCCCCTACCCAACCCCTTCCTCCTTCTCTTGGGCAGCGGCTCAGGCTAAGAGACTAAGGGATGGTAGTGGGGAAGCTTCCAGAGCCCGGCCAGGGCCGGCGGGGGCTCTGGTGGGTGGGAGGCTGCAGGGCGGGGGAGATGCCCGGCTCCCCCACATCTGTGCCCTGTGGCAGCGGGCCAGGCTGGGGAGTGAAGCGCTGCCTGCGGCGCTCCCAGGGAAATGTGATTTCCCTTGAGTGAAGCGGACTGTGCAGTGTGGAAATTGGCTCTTTT